CAGTTCCTGAGACCCGTGAAATGTAACATCCCCTTACAGGATGCAGGAGTTTACAAGCTTGACTGTGAGTGCGGTCTCTCTTATATTGGACAAACAAAGCGAAGTATTTGTACCCGCGTCAAAGAACATATAGCTGATGTCAAACACCGTCGCGTAAACAAGTCTGCAGTCTGCGAGCATGTCATAGATAAACCTACACATTCAATGAAGTTTGACAAGCCCCAGGTCCTTGCAAAAGAAGTCCGTTATCTACCCAGGATGCTGCGAAAGGCCATTGAAATTAAAAAACATCCTAATTTCAACAGGGAAAATGGTTTCTCCGTACCACCAGTTTGGAATCCAGTATTTCCTCTAATGAAAAATCCCAAACAAACATAAGACTGCAGTAAAAAAAGTATAATAAATTAAAACATATTAATTATGTTTTAATTTATTCTAATTTTATTATTAATTTTTAATTATTAATTAATAATAAATTGAAGTTAATAAAAATTCATTCAATAAAATAATTTGTAAAACTTAATATAGCGTAAATTGGAATGTTTTCTTTGTAAAATTAAAAATAAGGTATTTAATTAATAACTATTGTAACTATAGTGAAAAAATAAGGTGGTTTGCATCAATATTAGACATAACTGGTTGAAGACTGTACCACCTCAGTCAACCGTGACCATGGGACCTGTAAAGGGCCCGAAACGTCGGTTTATTTGAAAAAACAAATATACGCGATTTAAATCCGGAAAATAGTTATATTTCCTTAGATGAATAATCCCACATTTTCTTCAAATTGTACTTTAGAATTGGTGTTAGATATTTAAATACATAATACGTTTATTTGAATAAAGAAGTGTAATTAAAAAATTTTAAATAGAGTTGTATTCGACTACTTAAAAAATTTTAAGTAGTCGAATACAACTCTATGGCTTCAATGGTCGGCGATAAGCGCGCGAAAATTAATTACTTTTGATCAGTTTGCGCTGCGACGTACTGGTAGCGGGCGGCGAATGATAGGTGCGGGTAGCGGGGAGTGTGGGTGAAGCCAACGTCAAAACTTTTTTAACATGAGGGCTCTTAAGTGCTCCCATGGCAAAAAAGTTTTGACGTTGGCTACGCCCAAATTTGTGAAACAAATATATGCCTGAAGTTCGCGTGACATGCGACAGGAGATGTTGAATTTTGCGCATTAAAAGTACCAAATTCGGTTTAGCGGAATAACTCTAAAACTAAAGGGATTGAAAAAAAATCCGTAGTGGTATGTAGTTGTCGATCATGCATAAATATAATTAATTATCTAATTTTTGTCCTAATAACCTGTAGCATTTCGAGGATAAATCGAAAAAAATGTGAAAATTAGAGGTCATTTCGTGATTTTTATCTATCGAGGAAACTTTATTGTTTTATGTTTCTGATTAATGTATATGCTTGAATATATCGTGTAGTTACTCATACAATATTTTATTTTTAACTTTAAAGTGGATATACCCCTCTAAAATCAAATCGAAGATTAGGAACTTTTCCTCTGCTCCTTCTTAAGTGCATATCAAAAAACATAATACATATAAAATAATGTTCATTATTCAAATAACTTTCACATCTAAAAAAATATTTCACTACAAATAAAACAACTGTCTAACAAAACTAACATCAAAAATAATTTAAAAACATGTATCAAAACTAAACCTCGGCTAATTTGTCAGTGTACAACGAAAGTGTTCATTTATTAACAATAATATGGTTTACATAACAAAAATACTTATTGCACATCAATTTAAATTAACTCTAAACGAAATAACAATTGTTTTAACAAAATTACCGTAATTTTTCTCCAAAATCTATCCACAAATTATCTTCGTTTACTTTATACAATGAACCACGTAAACAAATATATTTATAACGAATAATACATATTGCAATAATTAAAAAATGTTATCTGATTTACTAAAAATAATCGGGACTTTTTATTGTTGTTCGTACAATATGTACAATATGCCCGAATAAAGAACAAGCTAGAACGCTGTGCAAATGAAACTGCCCTCATTTTTTCAAAAACTATAAATGCAAACAATCATGTTCTAGGGCTCGCGATGCGGCTCATTAATCCGGCTCAAAAATCATTTTTTTTAATCGGTTTTTTCTTATAAATTTGTGATCATGTGTTTGTTGTATGCCGGAAATATTAGATACGTATTTAGATGTTAGATATGCATTAAGATAAAATGTTACGCATTAATTTTAGTACATAATGCTAAATTTTTTTTTTTTTGATGTACATATTTTGATGTGCAATCAGTACTTTTGTTGGGGAAATGGCATATTTGGTTGCGAAAAAACTTGCTTTTTTGGTGAGCAGTTAAATACTACCCATAATTAACTACCCCAGCAGTGAGAAGTAGAAGTACTTCTCGTAGGTTAGACTTACTTATTAAACAAAACGACAATATTAGAATAATATATGAAATGCAAATTGATAGGTACTCATAGCAACAAAAGATTTACACATAGCTATAAAATTTTTTTTCAAACTGATGGTGATGAACTTTAGTGGTGAAGTCTAGGGAACCCTTTGTTTACATATGTACTTGCTTCCTTTTTCAGAAGCATGTGTTAAGTAGGATATAAGCACAGATCTATCAACTTATCTATCATGTCTCAATAAAAGCAACTAATGCTACCATGTTATAAATTTCAAATTAAGTCAGTTACTAGGTTTCACAACTCATGTGATGGAATAGTTGGTAAATCAATAAGTACTGTAAAATTACAATAAAGAGATTATTGTATCCTAAATATTTATTGTTGAACAATAGACAAGCGTAACAGAAATGTTTTACCAAATTTTCCATTCAACTTTATTATGTATTCCTAGCACAACTGTATTGAATTTAAAAAATATCAGTTTGGTAACACTTATTCTTAATTAGTCAATGTTTAAATATCTTGTGCAATGGTCGGAAAAAGGTGTTTCACATACATAGATACATGTATAAATATAGCTACTATAGTGATATAGAGTTGTTAAAAACACCAAATTTTAATTCATTACTTTTTCGAATTCCGGAAAATTACCTACTCATTTATGAATTCCGGAAAATTACCTACTCATTTATGAAGTCAAAGTTGGATTTTAAAGTAATTCTAGTGGTGCCATGTAAAAAAAATACAGTAGATAACTGATTTTTCATCATCATTATGTATAAGCATGGGCAGCTGCAGCAGCATAATTAGCATCTTCGTCATTATCATCATTTTAGTACCAGTAGAGCCCCTTGTGAAAGAGTTAGTTCAGGGAAGTAATGCCGCCATACCTATTTATTGCGCCATACAGGTTTACTGTAATAATGTAATGTAATAAAGTCAGTTATCTACTGCATTTGTTTTACATGCCACCACTAGAATTACTTTAAAATGCAACTTTGACTTGATAAATGAGTAGCTTTGTTCTACGATGCAGTAGAACCATTTCCGGAATAATGAATTAAAATTTCGTGGCTTTAACAACTCTATGTCACTCCTTGTAGCAATATCTATACATGTATCTATATATTTGAAACACCTTTTTCTGACGTAAGGTCATATGATTATGCATAGTTTTTATCCAAAGATCTTAATATTATATATTAACCAATAATCATATATACATACTAGCTGGTGCCCATGACTTTCTCTGTGTAGGATAAGTACTTCGAGCAGCATACTGTACTATTCAAATTTTCATACTTTTATTAGTTCTCCAAACAAATTTTCATCCCTTATATCACTACCTTTAAGAGTTATTTTTGTGATAAAAAGTAACCTATGTCCTTCTTCAAGGTCCCATCTATCTCTATACCAAAATTCATCAAAATTGATTCAGCGGCTTAGGCATGGAAACATAACAGACTACTTTCACATTTATAATATTAGTTTGGATTAGTTTGAATAATCATAGCAGTCAGCTGCTGTCATATTTGTTGTCCTTATTATAAACAACATTCTCGACATTTGTAGCCAAATTAGAGTTATTAACAAACCTGGAATCGCTTATCACACAGCAGTCTAGCTTGCAATTTAAGCTACTGTGAGTTACCCATTTTCTGAATGTATCCCTTAATCCCTTAATATGACACCAATATGTAAATTAGATGATCTTTTTGCAAAACATGTATACAACGTAAAAACTAACACTGAGTGATATAATACAACGTAATATAATATTCAAAATTAGCCGTTAACGAGGTTTAAAACTATAGTGAAAAGAAAACTTTATACTAAATGTTATTAAACAACTTCTGCGTAGTAATAGATTATAAAACAATAGTTTTGTAATCTGTTATTTCTTTGTTGAATTATTGAGTTCTGCGTACCAGATAACAAAAATGCGTGGTAGTGATCAGTTTTGCTCACCCAGGTAATCTCAATCTAAGATGTTTATATTAAATATTGTAATGATAAATGTATTCAAATGTATATTTACAAAAAGCAACCCCTAGAGTTTCTTGCTCATTCTTCTCGGGTGAATCTGCGTTACGAATAAACAATAAAGTTAAACCAGTATGATGATTTCAAGTGTAATTTGCTAAGTACCTATGAAATAAAGATTATTTAACTTTGACTTTTTATGTAGAGAACCATTCTACTTTAATAGACTAAGATCTGAATTCTACTGACAATACGTACCGTGATGAAGTCTGATCAATAGCTCGCTTTAGACTATTCTTAAAAAATCACATTTTCATTTCTTTATCGACTACATTATGGCTAGATTAATATAAAAATCGCTTTTCAGAAAAATATTAATTCTTCATAAAAACACACCCGATAAAAAATTGTCATGACAATGACACATTGATGACATGACTTCGCTTACTGATTGACACTCGGCTGATTTTGACATTCAACTTTACCGATTTCTTCACAAATTCGAAAGATATAGCAGGGATTTCTCTTCTTGAGTCAAACTTACGACAAACCAATACAACACTATTGTAATAACAGTGCGACATGAGGATAACTGACTGACATGGTAAAACAAGTTGGTAAATACGTCGGAAAATCCGGAGAACACTTTTCGGGTGTGTAATGATTAGTTTGCCAACGAATTGTATACGAGTACCTATTTGTTAAAAGTAATAAAATATGAAGAACTGTAAAAATGAGATTAAGTGCAATTCCACACCGGAATCTCTAGTAACGTTGGTGCGTAAAAAACGGTTACTGAAGATTGAGAATATAGAGGGATTTAGCCATCCTCTCACAGAGAAGTCAACGCCTTCTCCAGGTTGGGCCAGCTGTCCATTAGACGTGTTAATTATGGTGTTTGACCAGTTAAGTCCAAAAGATTTGATGTCCTGTATTCGTGTGAATAGCTGGTGGAGAGATGCTGTTGATTATATGGGCGAGGTGAGGTTGTTTATATTTCTATAATATAATAATAATAACGCACATACTCAACATAGCTCCGCACTAGGGAAACCCTGTGTCGCGGGTGCCATGGACACACCCATAGACAACCACAAATTACACCCAAACTCACGAGAGAAATAAATGTAGGCCCATACAAATATCTCTCTGGGCCCGGGAATCGAATCTGAGACTTCTGGGTGGCAGTCCAGTGTGGTAACCATTCGGCCACATAGGCAGTTAAAAATAAAACAACAGTAAATAAATAACAACAAAACCATTTTAGAAAAATACACTGCCTAATTCTTGCTAAAGTTGTGTGGTTAATGCTTAACAAGTTTATCATTATAATGGAAGTATTTTATTATTATTATTATCAATTAATACACTAGCAGCTCTGCGAGCTGA